GAAGGGCGACAATCAGACGTATAAGCTAGATTGTAATCCTTGTGAAAGGGCAACAACTAACGTATAAGCTAGATTTTGATCCTCTTTGTGGGGGGACAATCAGAAGTTTAACCTAGATTTTAATCCTTGTGTAAGTATAAGCTAGATTAAAAGCCTTGTGGAAAGGCGAAAATCAGAAGTATCAGCTAGATTATAAGCCTTGTGGAAGGATCGACAATCAGAAGTATAAGCTAGATTCCGAGCCTTGTGGACGGGTAAAAATCAGAAGTATAAGCTAGTTTTCGAGCCTTGTGGATGGGCGACAATCAGAAGTATAAGCTAGATTTTGATCCTTGTGGAAGGGCGACAATCAGACGTATAAGCTAGATTTTAATCCTTGTGAAAGGGCGACAACTAACGTATAAGCTAGATTTTGATCCTCTTTGTGGGGGGACAATCAGAAGTTTAACCTAGATTTTAATCCTTGTGGAAGTATAAGCTAGATTAAAAGCCTTGTGGAAAGGCGAAAATCAGAAGTATCAGCTAGATTATAAGCCTTGTGGAAGGATCGACAATCAGAAGTATAAGCTAGATTCTGAGCCTTGTGGACGGGCGATAATCAGAAGTATAAGGTAGATTCTGAGCCTTGTGGAAGGGCGGCAATCAGAAGTATAAGCCAGATTCTCAGCCTTGTGGAAGGGGCAAAATCAGAAGTATAAGTTAGATTCCGAGCCTTGTGGAAGGGCAACAATCAGAAGTATAAGTAAGATTATGAGCCTTGTGGAAGGGCGATAATTAAAAGTATAAGCTAGATTATGAACCTTGTGTGAAGGCGATAATCAGCGATTTAAGCTAGATTCTGATCCTTGTAGAAGGGCAACAATCAGAAGTATTAGCTAGATTCTGAGCCTTGTGGAAGGGCGACAATCAGAAGTATAAGCTAGATTATGAGGGTTGTGGAAGGGCGACAATCAGAAATAAAAGCTAGATTTTGAGCCTTGTGGAAGGGCGACAATCAGAAGTATAAGCTAGATTCTGAGCCTTGTGGAAGGGTGACAATAAGAAGTATAAGCTAGATTATAAACCTTGTGTGAGGGCGATAATCAGCGGTTTAAGTTATATAGATACAATGGATAAGCGTGGATTCTTGAAAAAGAAACCATGAGCCCGGAGGGCGAATGGTTTGTTTTTCATGAATCTACGCTTATCCATTGTATCTATAACTTAAACTATTGTGTTAATTTCTTTTCAAAATTAAAGCCTTTTCTTGATTAGAAGGTATTGTAAGTGAGTTTAAATAACCATGTTATCGTGTCCAATGATGCATTGATAAATCTCAGATCACAATTAATTGGTTAACAAAATACAAATATAACACTTTTAACGTTTTGAACTTTCTTATTCTCCTTTAAAGATCTTTATATTATCAGGCATCTGAATATTATCTGTTTTTACAAAATAAGACATATTCGAACTTATTTCTAATAAAATTGAGAATGGAAATGGGGAATGTGTCAAAGAGCTCGAGACAACAACCCGACCAAAGAGCATATATAAAGTGTATATAATAAGTATGTTACCGAAATTTCTAACACTCTAGGCACATCACGATTTTCTCGCATAGAAATTTGCGAACAAACATTTAAAATTATGTAGTAAAACAGATGAAATCATACTATATTTATACAACAAAAATTGACAAATAGAATGTAAACATTTTTCTTTCAAACATGTGAAATAGCCAATAATAATCCCAAAAAATAAACAGTAAAACTCGCTTTTATTACAAAAATATCCACTATAACATGTATAACGTGCAAAATAAAAAAAAAAAAAACAGAATTGGGACAACAGAGATAATACAGGGATTCGAACCTTAACCGACAAATCCCTATCTTTTAACTCGTTGATTTTAAGCATGCTAACCTCGCGGCTACCAACCTATACTATACGACTGTCCATTGTATATATATAAAGGTACAACCCCTGTGTGTCCGATGTTCATTTATATATATAAAATAGACATCTAAGTTGTAACCCATTGGTAGCCGAGAGGTTTCGTTGATGTGTTGGTGTCAGTCATTCATAACAGATTTCAAGGAAGGGTTCGATTCCCAGTGAAGGCATATACAAATTACAAAAATTAAAGGTAAGTTTTTTAAATTAAGTCCATTAGTGAACAGAAATCAGTAAATTAGCCAATTCAAACTTAATGAAATTAGACACACAAAGGAAACAATTGAATATAATTTGGTGAGTCCATTTCAGCGGCAGATTTAGAAAGCGTTGATTCTAGAAAAAGAATCCACGGTAAATGAATAGGCTGACGTCACCACAATGGTTTAAGCTAGATTCTGATCCTTGTAGAAGGGCAACAATCAGAAGTATAAGCTAGATTCTGAGCCTTGTGATAGGGCGACAATCAGAAGTATAAGCTAGATTATGAAGCATGTGGAAGGGCGAAAATCAGAAATAAAAGCTAGATTTTGAGTATTGTGGAAGGGCGGCAATCAGAAGTAAAAGCTAGATTCTGAGCCTTGTGGAAGGGCGACAATCAGAAGTATAAGCTAGATTCTGAGCTTTGTGGAAGGGCGACAATCAGAAGTATAAACTAGATTCTGAGCCTTGTGGAAGGGCGTCAATCAGAAGTATAAGCTAGATTTTAAGCATTGTTGAAAGGCGAAAATCAGAAGTATAAGCTATATTCTGAGCTTTGTGGAGGAGGGGACAACCAGAAGTATGATCTAGATTTTGAGCCTTGTGGACGAGCGACATTCAGAAGTATCAGCTAGATTCTGAGCCTTGTGGAAGGGCGATAATCAGAAGTTTCAGCTAGATTTTGAGTCTTGTGTAAGGGCGACAATCAGAAGTATAAGCTAGATTTTGAGGCTTGTGGAAGGTCGACAATCATAAGTATCAGCTAAATTCTGAGCCTGGTGGAAGGAAGATAATCAGAAGTATAAGCTAGATTTTGAGCCTTGTGGAAGAGCGACAATCAGAAGTAAAAGTTAGATTTTCAGCCTTGTGGGAGGGCGACAATCAAAAGTATACGCTGGATTCTGAGCTTTGTGGAAGGGCGAAAATCAGAAGTATATTAAGATAGATTATCAGCCTTGTCGAAGGGCGAAAATCAGAAGTATATTAAGATAGATTATCAGCCTTGTCGAAGGGCGACAATCAGAAGTATAAACTAAATTCTCAGCCTTATGGAATGGCAACAATCAGAAGTAAAAGCTAGATTCTGAGTCTTGTGGAAGGGCGACAATCAGAAGTATAAGCAAGATTCTGAGCCTTGTGGAAGGTCGACAATCAAAAGTAGACGCTAGATTCTGAGCCTTGTGGAACGACAACAATCAGAAGTATAAGCTAGTTTCTGAGCCTTGTGGAAGGGCGACAATCAGAAGTATAAGCTAGATTCTGAGCTTTGTGGAAGGGCGACAATAAGAAGTATTAGCTACATTTCTGAGCTTGGGGAGGGCGACAATCAGAAGTATAAGCTAGATTCTGAACCTTGTAGAAGGGCAACAAGCAGAAGTATAAGCTAGATTCTGAGACTTGTGGAAGGGCGACAATCAAAAGTATAAGCTAGATTCTGAGCGTTGTGGACGGGCGACAATGAGAAGTATAAGCTAAATTCTCAGCCTTGTGGAAGGGCGACAATCAGAAGTATACGCTAGATTCTGAATTTTGAGGAAGGGCGACAATCAGAAGTATAAGCTAGATTGTGAGCTTTGTAGAAGGGCGACAAGCAGAAGTTTAAGCTAGATTCTAAGGCTTGTGGAAGGGCGAAAATCAGAAATAAATCTTATTTTCACTGCTTCGTGTTTGGCCGACATTTGGTCTCTGGTGCAGAGTTGTCTCATTGGCAATCATACCACATTTTCTTATTCATATATTTATTTATTATTAAAATTGGACTTTCAGTTAATGAGTTCTCTTATATCGGTACATTGTGTCTTTGACTCTTTTTTTTTGTGCTTAGTACCGATATGATAAGTCAAGCCCTTTCCGGCAACTGATTTTTACATTTTCAATAGCAAAAAAAAAGTTTTGCTAGGAGCCTGTTAGCTAGTGGTTATCGTTCATTTTGTTGGTGCATGTCATGATTATTTTGCGATTATTGGTGTAGTTTTAATCAGTTCGTTGATTTTCTCTTTTGAATTGTCTCTCATTTTTTCATTCGGATCCATTTATAAATTGCTACATGAAATGCGTTTTGCTCTTTATTGAAAGCAGTACGATGATTTGTAATTATACACATCTTTGTCCTGTTGGTTCTTGTTTTCATATTTATAAAGTATTGATGAAACCTACAACTACAAACGCATTAATGATTCAAAGGGTTACCTCCCTTAATCAAGGTATATCCCATTAACGACTACAATGTTCAAATTGCCAGTTACAGTCCTTGAAAGGTTTAATTTTCACAATTACGCCATGCACCGTTCATAAGACACAAAACACACTGTATTGTTCAAAATTATCCACAATGTAAAGTGTGTGAGGAAATTTTCTATATTTCTTTTATAAAACTACCTTTAATTTAAAAACCATACAACATATATCAATCAGTATACACTATTTTCAATGCACCATTCACCATTCACCACACGTATTACATTTTACACGTTAGGCCACACTTAAAAATATTTTGGTTTGCCCAAACCCTACCCAAATGTTAAGACGGCGGGTAGGTAGGTAGGCATTTTCTTTTCTTTTCTTTTTTTCGTCAAAGAGAAATTGAAGTGTCAGATGATTTTAGTCTCCATATACCTATCTGATAAGAAAAAAAACTGTTTCGCATCAGGACAATAAAAGATTTTGAGTAGTCAGCTATTTTCTAGGTAGGTAGGGTTAGGGCAAACACATATTCTTTTCTATTGCCTTTTTGGGATATTAACACTGTGCAAGGGCTATATTTATACGTAATAAATAACAAACTTAAGATCAGTTTGAACCTGTTCCCTGTTGTATATATTCTTGGTGAAATGAAAAATATATAAAGTTAAAATAAGACTAAGTATATAAATATGCTTTTATTCAAACCTTAAATATATAGACGAAGATATGGAGATTGCACGTATGTAAACCCTTTTACATTATGTTTCCCAATTATTTTTTTAATAAGTCAGGTTAAACAGAAATAGAAATTCAATTAAACACACCAAGGAATGTTCAAGAACCACTCATTTCACAAAAGTGTTAGTAATCGTAAGTAAAATCATCAGTAGGGTCGTCGTTGCGGCAGAACTTTTTACATTGGTTATTAGATTTTCTACAGACGTCCTTGCACTTCTTTCTTTTGTTTTTGTTCTTGTTGTTCTGATTACAATTTGATTTACATCTGTCAATTCTTCGGCGACAGATGTCGAGACAATCGTTCGTCAATCGTGCACCTTTGACCTCTACCATTAGCACCGTGGCTACCATCAACATAACAACGAGGACTTTGGTCTGAAATAATGAAAATAAACGTAAATAGTACTTTCGATGTGGAATTACGATTTTGTTTTTTAACTAATTTTTAATAAAGAAAAATATGATCATACAGTATGGCGTGTTTTAAGCGTTGAGATTAACGGCATGCTAAGCACATTTATTATAAAGATACTGATTGGATGATTTGAAATGTTTGTGATGACAGTCTTTCTCACTTAATAAACAATTTCGTATAGTTCTGAGCACTCAAACACATGAATTAAACACATACATACTTATAGATACGTGTGAACTCACATGCTGTGTATTATAAATGGGTACTTAACACATATGTCTTATACCTATATGCTATCTACGTATAAAACCAATGTCCAGGCTTAACTATCACAACTACCAAGAACAGGGGAATTTGACGCTCACAGACGTTTTCCCCCAATTATGATTATTGAACAAAGTTAAGAAAAATTGCTACACCCCATTGAAGATTACAAAACTGCTTTTATTAAGGCTTGTTGGGTGTACGTTATATAGATACAATGGATAAGCGTGGATTCTTGAAAAAGAAACCATGAGCCCGGAGGGCGAATGGTTTGTTTTTCATGAATCTACGCTTATCCATTGTATCTATAACTTAAACTATTGTGTGAATTTCTTTTCAAAATTAAAGCCTTTTCTTAATTAGAAGGTATTGTAAGTGAGTTTAAATAACCATGTAATCGTGTCCAACGATGCATTGATAAATCTCAGATCACAATTAATTGGTGAACAAAATACAAATATAACACTTCTACCTTTCATGATCTATATATTATCAGGCATCTGAATATTATCTGATTTTACAAAATAAATTATATTCGAACTTATTTCTAATAAAATTGAGAATGGAAATGGGGAATGTGTCAAAGAGACAACAACCCGACCAAAGAGCATATATAAAGTATATATAATAAGTCTGTATGTTACCGAAATTTCTAGCACTCTAGGCACATCACGATTTTCTTGCATAGGAATTTGCGAACAAACATTTGTAAAATTTTGTAGTAAAACAGATGAAATCATACTCTATTTATACAACAAAAATTGACAAATAGAATGTAATCATTTTTGTTTTAAACATGTGAAATAGCCAATAATAATCCAAAAAATAAACGGTAAAACTCGCTATTATTACAAAAATGTCCACTATCACATGCAAAATTAGAAAAAAAAACAGAATTTGGACAACAGAGATAATACAGGGATTCGAACCTAAACCGACAAATCCCTATCTTTTAACTCGTTGATTTTAATCATGCTAACCTCGCGGCTACCAACTTATACTATACGACTGCCCATTGTGTATATATAAAGGTACAACCCCTGTGTGTCCGATGTTCATTTATATATATATAATAGACATCTCAGTTGTAACCCATTGGTAGCTGAGAGGTTTCGTCGATGTGTTGATGTCAGTCATTCATAAAAGATTTCAAGGAAGGGTTCGATTCCCAGTAAAGGCATATACAAATTACAAAAATTAAAGGTAAGTTTTTAAATTAATTCCATTAGTGAACAAAAATCAGTAAATTAGTCAATTCAAACTTAATGAAATTAGACACACAAAGGAAACAATTGAATATAATTTGGTGAGTCAATTTCAGCGGCAGATTTAGGAAGCGTTGATTCTAGAAAAAGAATCCACGGTAAATGAATAGGCTGACGTCACCACAATGGTTTAAGCTAAAAGATACCATTTAAAAGTGTGTACTCTAGCAATATTTAGTGTAAACATATTTTATTAATTAAATTCAGGTTAAGTAATGTACACAAATTGGCATTTACATATTAATACAAGTGAATAATTAATAGGATCCAGAAACAATCTGTTAGCTTATATGAATCCGTTTCCTAATTCAAATAAGAACATTTCATATTGTAATACTCAAGGAGTAGAGTGTAAAAAAATTAACAATGTTACACTAGATGGAAAACAAACAAAACATATACATGTAATAAGGTTGTGAACACAAAAGAGAAAAAATTATTTTTTTTTTTTACATCAGATATACAATAATAAAGTGTATGTTTCTGAACGGACACAATTATTTAAGATATAAGTATTACTTGTTGAACAAGATGATTGTAATCATATGACAAATCTTTTGCTACTGAGTATGAACGTTTGAACTGCCAAGAATATTTCAATGTTTTGTTCGTAGCTGAAATCCGTTGAACCGTGTAGCAAAATTTCTTCTGACAAGAAATGTATGATATTGATGTTATAAAAATGCTCTTCACGCATGATGTGAAATCGGGGGCAGTGCAACAAGTAATGCGCTGTTGTTTCTATAGCACCACATAAACAAAGTGGTGAGTCCACTATATTTTTTACAAAAAGATGTTGATTTAGAGAACTGCATTGCATTCGAAGTCTTGAGTGATAAATTTGACCTAATCGCTTACCAATGTAATAATAATTTGGAGGCTTAGTCACCCGAGACTGGACACAATTCCTGAATGCCCTCACCGAAGTACTGGTCTTAGCATTCTCAGGGAGGAGATTCCATGAACGTACAGTTGCCGGTAAATAATAATTCGAATACAGGGCTGTTCTTGTTCGAACAGGGGGGATTAGTGACGAGTTTCTCGTATTATGATTATGTATGGTTGCATGGGATTCTGGAACTAAGTTTGATAAATATTCCGGAGTAATATGATTTTTCATCTTGTAAAAATAAATTAATCTGTGGCCCTCCCTTCGATCTTTAAGCTTTTCCCAACCCGTTTCGAGATATAATCTCTCTAGGGACACCAACCTAGTACCCCCAGTTACGATCCTGGCAGCCTCTGCTTGTACTTTTTCAATTTTATCGATCAAAAGATGTGTATAGTTGTCCCAGATAACATCAGCATATTCTAATAATAGTCTTATATATGTTAGGTATATTGTCTCGAGTGTTCGTCTGTCAAGGATGAATTTAAATTTTCGTAGAACATTCAGTCGTTTGTATGCCTTTTCGGTTATTACATCAATATGTTTATGCCAAGTGCCATCGTTTGAAATATGTAATCCAAGGTGTTTATGGGTAGATACCTCAGTTACAGTTACGTTGTTCATGTTAAGTTTTGGATGATCAGGTTTGTGAAGTTTCCGTGAAATTGTCATGGTCTCGGTTTTCTGAGGGTTAAAGGTCACTAGCCAATTTGAAGACCATCTATGGATTTTTGCAAGATCACTATTCAAGTTGTTTGCCGATTCTCGGGGGTCATCTACTATCAAATATAAACTTGTATCATCAGCAAACAACTTAATAGTGGACTGTATATCAGATATGATATCATTGATAAATATCAAAAATAAAAGAGGTCCCAGGATCGACCCCTGGGGTACTCCAGCCTTTATATTGCCCCACTCGGATGATACATTATTAATTACAACCCTTTGCTTTCTATCAGATAGATAATTTTTTACCCATGCCAAAATAGAACCTTTAATGCCAATAGCTTCTAATTTTCTCAACGACCCCTTATGCCAAACTCTGTCAAATGCCTTACTTATATCACAAAAAATTACTCTAATTTCTTTCCCGTCATCTAATGCCTTCCCAAACTCATTTGTAATATTAAGCAATTGATTAATGGCTGAGTCCCCTTGAGTGAAACCTGATTGGTTGGGTATAATTATCTGGTTAGCAAGTAGATAATTATGAATATGCTTAAAAACACATCTTTCCATGACTTTTCCGATAACGCTTATCAATGAGATCGGTCTGTAGTTTCTGTAGTCACTTGGAGAGCCCTTCTTAAATACAGGGGTAACATTAGCACATTTCCAGTCAGAAGGAAACTTGCCAACTGATAAAGACAGGTTAAATAACCTGCACAAAGGGTATTTCAGATTTCCATATGCTTCCTTTAGAAGTCGTGGGCTTATTCGATCTGGTCCCGATGCTTTTGATACGTCCAAAATCTTCAAAATGTCTACTACCTCGTTCTCAGATATTATCATATCACCGATTCCCTCTGTTCGTGTGTCAGGTATGTCTGGCAGATGTGTGTGAGAGTCATCAAGATTTGATTGACCACAAAAATAATCATTAAATATTTTTGCCTTTTTTGTATCGTCACAGATCAGATCATCGTCTATCTGTAAAGGGGGAATGTTGCGACTGTCACTGGAGTCACATTTCATCAAAGATTTAATAAGACTCCAATATTGTTTGCCACCATGAGTTTCAGATATAATTTTGGTTGACAATTTTGAAAAATAATCAGTTTTTTTAGTTTAAAACTAGTTTATTACATTTATTCCTAAAAAATCGAAATTTTGCCCAGTCCGGAGCAGAATTTGTATTTTTGGCTCTTTTATGGATACGATTTTTTTTTACGAATCATCCTTTTGATATCAGCGGTAAGCCATGGTGGTTTATCTTTTCTGACTGTAATAATTCGGTTAGGAATGTTTTTATTTGCCTTGTCCATAAGTTCGTCCGTTATAGCACATGCTATGGCATCAACGTCATTTGTAATAAATAAAGCATCCCAATCAACAAGTGATAGCTGGTGTCTATATGAGTCATAATCACCTCTATCGTACATGTATACTTTACGCTTAAAAACTTGATGTAACTTGCAAGGCTGGGTAAGGATACCTATTACAGGTAAATGATATCGTATTTGATCGAGTAACGGGGCCCCGATATCAGAAAATAGGAGGTTAACTGGGTCATTTACTAAAATAAGGTCAAGAAGTGAAGAACTGTGTTCTGTAATATAAGTTGGGTCGGAAATAAGTTGATGTAGACTGAATTGTGCTTTAATCATACTAATTCTATCATTAGTGGTGTTCCTTAACTGGTTGGTGTTAAAATCGCCTGTAACTATGATATCTAAATTACAAGATAAGGCAAGGTCGATAGACTGTTCTATGTTGTCCCATACCTGTGGACTACTGTTAGGTGGGACGTAAAAGGTCCCATAAAGATATTTTTTGGTCTTGAATCTAAATTCGAGCCATATACACTCAATATCACAGA